TTGCAAAATTGCATCTTTGCAATTTTGGCCAATTTCTCACAGATTGCAAGTAATTGCCACCTTTATGACATTCACCTGCAAACTAACAGCACACTGACTCTGCATTATTTTTTTTCTTTATTACTGTCTTTACACAAAGTCACTTTGAAGATGGTAAGACAACACTGCATCAATGAGGTGCAATAGCAAATGATAATATTGTATTTATATTGATGAATATAAATGAAGGATGGACTGAAGAGGTGGACAGCTAGACGTGGGTATCCCACAGGCCAACGGGAACCATGAAAAAGATCAACCACAGCCAAAAACATCCAAACGACAGGTGCTGACAAGCCAGCTGAACTTCAGTTTTTCAATTCAGTTCCATTCAATTGTATTTCTGTAATGCCAAATCAAAACAACAGTTGCCTCAAGGCGCTTACAATAGAAATAGAATCCAAGCCATCAATACATGTGCACTACGAGATATCAAAGTCTCCAGCTGAAATAATAAGCTGGCCACAGAACAAGATATCTGCCCCTGAGAAATGTCAAGACATGAAGACTCCTCACAATGAGGTCACAGTGATGTCCACCCGAAATCCAGCACCCTGAGGCTCTAGGAGCAACGGAAATAGGCAGGGGTGAAGATTAGTAAGCGTCAGAGCCAGGATGAAACACAAAGCATCTGCAAATACATCAGATGACCCACTGAGATGAAGTATGCGTCAAGCAGCTGAAGACAGACACTACAGGAAGAGGAACTATCATAAATGACCAAGCTCCTACATGGGATATACCACTGACACATAAAGCAATGGCTGACATCATTAAATCCTACCAGTGCCTTGAAACGGCCGACTCAAAGAACAGCACAGAGGTACTGACCATGGCAGCACAAAAACAGGCCCTGAGCACCAAACCAAGTGGCTGGAATAGTGTGACTTCCAGTTCCAGCATCATCTGTTCAGCCAGTCAGACATGCAGGTGAGAAATTATTTGAAAAATCATATCAATAAACTACGCAGGGTGTGTAAAAGTTTCGAATGCCTGTTCCAAAGATAAGAAACTTCAATTAGAAACCTCAAGCGACGAAAATATTTATCATGAATAATAAATTTTCTGTTACTTCAAATCTCAATCAAAGAAATGCACTGATTTAAAGAATGTGCAGTAAATACAATCCTGTTGGAAGGCCCATTATCTCCTAGTCGGTAAAAATCTCAGGACACTAATGAGCTCAGGGAGTCAAAAAGGTAGCTGTAGCCTTCCACCTGCTCCCTGGCACAGGCACCCATGGGAGCAGGTTTGGATCAAGCCTTGCATGAAGCTCTCTAGTCTCAGGAGATGTTCCGCTATACAGAAAACCTTGTCCAGACTTGCCAGCTTGCAGTCGAAGTGACTCCCACAGTACAAGTCAGGCCTGTTTTCCTCTGCTTAGCCTGGAGCCTTGTAGGGGATAATTAGCAAACTTTCAAATGTGTATAACATTGGCTTAACTGTAACAACTGAGCCACTGCTTTGATATATGTGATCTTGTGCAGGATAGAATATGTGTAAAACCAGTCCAGCATCTTTTTTCACAACATTATTACACAACTTTTGAGGTCCTCAGTTGGATTTTGTCAGTGAAAATCCAACTGAATTGAATACAGTGAGTTCGAATCCGGATGGGATTTAAAAAAGGAAGGAAAGTTGAGATGGCTCGGTTGGATGTATAAGTGCAGTCACTTTGGTAGAATGTATGTATATTTTTTCATTATCCACTGAGTCTGCAGTTGACTGGGTTGGTGGACTATTTTAGTCTTGTTTGATTGTTTGTTTTTTATAATAAAGTGTCACTTTTATTTTTTTATAAGGCTGTCCTATTGTATAAAGGTAAATATGAAACTGTAATTGATGTAAAATGTGAAAAAAAAAAAAAATCCCAACAGCAAAGAATAGCTTTTCTCCACACCTTCAAAATCCACCTGATGATATAAATCATGGTATTGCTTCCTAGGACACGGCCTACAGGGACTGACAATGTCGGGCATGCATTGTATAATATTACCTCAAAAATGAGAGCTGTTCCTCGTTTTTGTGTGGCCGCGATACACCGGGGCTGTGAGCATCAGCTGGGAAAACAAGCTGAGGCTGATAACAGATCAGGCCCACATTCCACATTCCTTGCTCTGCCCTGCTGAGGGACACAACAGCCCACCAATTCTCACACACATGGTGATACCTGTAAGCATGAGAGTAAGTGTGAGGCCTGCAGAGGTGCAAGGTCGGCAGCATCTTACAAAACTCCTGCGCTTTGATTACGTATCTTATTTCACGGCTAAGTTGCGCACGGCCGTGTGAATGTCTCTTTGAGAGAAGAAAACAAAAACATGGTATCTTACTCACTTTGTTTGGGGAGAGTTTAGGCAAGTCTGTTGTCAACAATGTGAGGAATGGTTTGGAGCTGTACGGTCCAGGTGCTGACAGACCTCCCTCAATGCTGAGCAGACTTTTTGGATCCATGCTGTGCAGGCCTGGCTGGGCTCGGCTGGACGACTGAGTACAGGTTGCCCAGCAGGCTGTGTTGTCTCAGCCTTCAGCCGTGGATGATAGATGGAGCTGGAAAGGCTCCCAGAGAGGGGGTGAACATGTGTGGCAAGCCGTGGCAGGTGGCGAGCGCTGACTTGACAGCAATTAAATGTACAAATCTTTGATTAAGCTCATGGGAAGGCAGTCATTAGCGACACTGAATTGACTCTCGCACACATGCAATTCTCTCTTTCCCTCAAAATGTACACACAGGAACATTTTTCTGTTTGCGTAACAATAATAAAGATATGTGAGTAGGTCTGATAGCACTGATACACTGTTGGGAGACAAATGAAAGTAAAAACCCAAACCCTTGAGCCCTACACTGAGTGAATCAAGTGGTTCTGCTACAGTATTTTTCGGACGATAAGGTGCGTCGGATTATAAGGCACATTGAGCGAAACAAAACAGTCAGATAAGTCAAACTTTACTCAGCTCATTCTTCTTGCTTCCTCCACTTCTGTACCATTGATTATGTTGAATTCTCTCACAGCTGCTCTATTTCCGTGTTGTTGCAGTATATTAATGACTAATTTCGTATTGTGGATGGATTATCTCAGTTGTTCTCCTGACTGAATTTTGGTCCGTTTACAGCATCCTGCAATGCGATTGTATTTGTCCCTAACCATCGGGAACCCTCATGTTAACTTTAATCGAGTGGAAAAAAGTTAGCATTCATCCTACAGCTTCACTGTGTTTATGTTATGCTACACATCATTATATACCAGCTAGTCCAACTTCAGTAACCCTACAAACATCACTGCTGTTTAGTTTTCTGTCTTCATTTATGTTGGAAGTGATAGCAGAGCTGTACGTTTTAATTTGTTTCAGAAATCTCTCAGTCAAATCATGTTTAGTTGGAAACTAGCGAGCTAATTCCCTGCTAACTTCTAACTCTGTTAAATTTAATAAATTCTGTTTTCATGGATGCATGGATGTAAAACTTAATTGTTACACCTGGTAAAGCAGCAACTCTGATCATTTTATTAAAGATGACAGAATTTAGACAGTTTTTAACTCTTAGTGATGCTGCAGTGTTTGTTTGACTTTGGGACCTGAAGCGGACGGAGTCTTGGACCCAGATTACTTCGCTAGGCTAATGATCCAACAGTCCATTAAGCGGTGCGGCTTCGTAGCTTATCAAAGTCATACTAAAACATTTTTTGACAGTTTTGAGCGCGGTGTACCACATAAAATCGGTTCAAGGTCAGTAAGCACAACCGGGAATTCATACATAAGGCGCGCTGTCAATCTGAGAAAATTAAAGGATTTTAAGTGCTAAGGTGCAGAAAATACGGTGTGCTGTTGTGGGTCTTTTGGGGGGAGAATTTGAGTCCTTTTCTCCCCTTAGAGGGAAGGGTAGCACAAATCAAACTTTATCCCAAAAAACATATCTGTCCTGATATGAGTGGTCTCTCCCAGGATCACAATACCCGCATTTCTGTTTTGTAATTTAAAATTTTAGTTTAAAAATATTTGGAATCACAATTAAAATACAACTAAAATAAAACATATTTCTGGTGCTTCTTTTTAACAGGTACATTTTATATTGCATTTTTGAAACTGATGCAGCAGTCATCACTGTTGCATCATAGCATGAATCCAGGTGGCTGGGCCCTTTGTTTGGAATTATATTATATCCTCCCTGTACAGTTGTGGGTCCTCTCTGATTATTCTCTGACTTCCTCCCACAGCCTAAGGACATGCATAACTTAGGGTAATTGGCAATTCTAAAATGGCTATAGGTGTGAATGTGAGCATGAATGTTTATCTGTTTCTCTGTGTTAGCACTGTGATAGAGTGGCAACCTGCCTGGGGTGTATACCACCTTTTGCACCATGCCAGCTAGGATGGATGGATGCTTAAACTGAACAAAAAAAATGCTTTTCTAATGGCAGCACCAACACTGCTTGTCCTGTCCTTGCTAAACAACGGTGCAAAAACCTGTTTTGTGCATTATTTCTCACATTTATTGGATATAAATGTTATACCACTCAAGCACTCAACTCAAAAGCACAGCACATTAAATGGAAGTGGACCAATGAGTACTCTCCATAGCCTGCCCCCTTGAAATATGCAGTATATTGTAACGATGGTTAAGTGTTACTGGACAGTGACATGTTGGTTTTCTCTGCACACTGTTGTTGTTCCTTTAAGATTCATGTTTGGTTGGGCTGCAGGAAGTAGTGAGGGTGGTGTACAGGAAGGGGTGGGGGGACCTGGTTGTTCTGTGTGGGTGCCAGGCTGAAGAGAGGTGTAGTTCGAGAGCGCTTCCCCCTGAGTTAACAACCCGCTGGCTTATGTGCCGAATAAACGGACAAACTGAGACCCCAACCGTCTGGTTCTTGTGAACGTTACATTGGTGTCAGAAGTGAAGAAAGAAAAAAGAACCCCAGAACGCCCGAGACCCTGTTGCCGGCGACGCTTGCCGTTACGAGACGAGGATGTTGCCGGACAGGATTAAGAAGGAGACGGAGGAGAGGGAGGTTCGTCCGCGCTCGCCCGCCCATGGAGTGAGGGAAACGGCGCTGCGGCTGTCTGCCGAGGCTGGATTTTCTCCAGGTTTGACTAGGCTCGGGAACTGTTCGCACAGCGGCCGCGATTCCGGCGGGAAGGAGTCGACCTCGCTTGGCGCGCCGTCACGTGATGTAAACAAACATGGCGGCGCCCAGCAAGCTGCAGCGAATATAAAAACGCCTAAGTTCAGCGGCAAGACGCCATGGGAAGTGTTTATCGCACAGTTCGAGCTGTTAGCTGTTGCAGCTGGCTGGTCTGAGGAACATAAAGCTCTCCAATTGGCTTTGTGCCTGTGTGAGGATGCAGCTGCATGCCTGCTGCTGCTGACCGAGGAGCAGAGGGGAGATTATAATGCTCTGGTCGGAGCACTTCAGAGGCGCTTCGGGCAGTATAACCAACCAGTGCTGCTGAGGTCGGAGTTCCACAACAGACGCAGATTGCCAGGTGAGCCCCTCCGCATTTTGGCCCATGAAGTCGAGTGCCTTTGCCGGAGGGCGTATGACAGCATGCCACCATCAGTGCAGGCGGAGTTAGCTCGGGACCAGTTCCTGCAGGCCCTGAGCCCTAAAGAGCTCCGCATGCAAACTCAGCTTGCTCGGCCGGCCACACTCAGTGCAGCCCTGGAGCTAGCGTTGGAGAGGGAGATGCTTGCAGGATCCTCTGGGGGCGCTGACGACGCACACGTGGTGAGGGCTGTGTCAGCACCTGTGGAACAGATGGAGACGCCAGCGGGCCTGTGCAGTTTGGTGCAGACAGCTTCGCTGCAGTCGCCTTCCCCTCGGGCTGGCCCACACCGCCGACCTCAGAGCTGCTGGGGATGTGGACAAGTCGGACACCTCATCAGGCAGTGCCCCAAGCTTGCAGCGGTTCAGGGAAACGCCCACGGGCCCGTGTAGGCGGGAGTACACGGGCCTGGGAGAACGACATCCCCACACCACCGCCACCTCCACCCGGTGCGGCCATCACTGTGGGCTGGACCCAGGTTGGCGGCTTTTGCCATGTTCCAGTGACGATTGCGGGGGTGTCCTGTACGGCCCTGCTGGACACGGGATCCAATGCAACGCTGGTCCGACCCGATATTGTCCCAACCGGAGCTGCTGTACAACCGACTAACGTGCAACTTAAGACTGTGACCGGTGATCTGGCCCCAATGAGAGGGAAGGGAGTGTTCCAGTTCAAGGTGGGGGACCTCGGTGTGTCTTATGCTGCCTGGGTGGCTGACGTGCAGGACGCCTGCATCCTTGGGCTGGATTTTTTACGAGCCATTGGTGGTGTACTGGACTTAGGCAAAGGCCTCCTCGTACTCCCTGATGGGAAGAAGGTGCCGCTTATTCCTCCCCCGGTCTGCACAGCATCTGCCGCGGCGTCCACCTCCACCGCAGAGACCCCTGCAGACCCGCCAGCAGAACAGCGAGCGGAGGAGGAGGAGGAGGAGAGGCTCTCAGCAGTGAGGAGTATCTGGTCAAAGAACTGTGAGGGGCTGACTCCACAGCAGCAAGAGAGTCTATGGCAGGTACTAAAAGAGTTTAGTGACATTTTTGCCCTGAAAGAAAGTGATGTTGGCTTGACACACTTGGTAGAGCACGTCATTGAGACCGGGGATGCCCAGCCTATTAAAGTGCGCCCCCGCCGCCTGCCCCTGGCTCATCAGGAGGCTGCAGACAGGGAGCTGTGTGAAATGATGAAGGCGGGCATCATAGAACCATCTGATAGCCCGTGGGCCTCCGCGGTGGTGATGGTGCCTAAGAAAAAAAGTCCTAGGATGCGTTTCTGTGTGGACTACAGACCACTCAACAAAGTGACGAAGAAAGACTCTTACCCCCTTCCCAGGATTGATGAGTCCCTCGACTTAGTAGCCGGGTCCTCCTGGTTTTCCACCCTGGACCTGCGGAGTGGCTACTGGCAGGTGCCACTGTCCCCGGAATCCAGACCGAAGACAGCCTTCTGCACTAACAGGGGACTATGGCAGTTCAAAGTCCTGAGTTTTGGCCTTTGCAACGCTCCTGCGACCTTCGAGAGGCTCATGGACAGTGTGCTGGCTGGCGTCCCACGGCAACGGTGTCTGGTTTACCTGGATGATCTTCTAGTGCACGGGAGCTCCTTTGATGCTGCCCTGGATGCCCTGAGACAAGTGTTGGAGAGGGTGGCGGCTGCAGGCCTGAAGCTGCATCCCGACAAGTGCCACTTCATGAGGAGGGAGGTGGAGTTTCTGGGCCACAAGCTGGGTCGTGAGGGCATCAGCACTTTGGAGGAAAAAATTCACACCATTACCGAGTGGCCCACACCAGCAGACCAGAAACAGCTCAAAAGCTTCCTAGGACTGGCGTCTTATTACAGGAGGTTTGTGAAGGGCTTTTCCTCCATAGCCGCACCACTCTTCCACCTGCTGCAGAAGGACCGTGACTTCATCTGGACCCAGGACTGTCAGCAGGCGTTCGACACCCTCCGCAGATTGCTGACAGAGTCTCCAGTCCTTGCCCCCCTGACCCCGCCCTGCCTTTTGTCCTGGACACTGACGCAAGTAATGTGGGGCTGGGAGCGGTGTTGTCGCAGGTTGGACCGGAAGGGGAGAAGGTGGTGGCGTACTTCAGCCGGGTCCTGAACAGGAGCGAGCGGCGCTACTGTGTCACACGACGAGAGCTGTTGGCTGTGGTGGCGGGGGTGAGACACTTTAAATACTACCTGTGCGGCACAGCATTTGTTGTCAGAACTGATCATGCTGCCCTTCAGTGGCTGATGTCTTTCAGGGAGCCAGAGGGACAGGTGGCTCGCTGGCTGGAGGAGCTCCAAGCCTTCAATTTCACCGTGGAGCACAGAGCAGGGACGCACCATTCTAACGCAGACGCCCTCTCTCGCCGCCCATGTGCTGCAGCTGGCTGCCGTTACTGTGAGAAGCGAGAGGAAATAGAGCGGGAACTCACGACAATAGACGGAGCAGCACAGCTCGCCTGCAGGGTTCTTCTGGTGGTGGATGCAGCGGAGTGGAGGGCACGGCAGGAACAAGACACAGACCTGCTGCCGGTCCTGCAGTGGCTGGAGAAGGGGGAGCAACCCCTTTGGGATGAGGTCACTGGGTTTTCCATCTGTACCAGGGGGCTGTGGGCCAAGTTTGCAGCTCTCAGGCTGAAGGAGGGGGTGTTGGAGCGTGCCTGGAAGGATCCTGCCACGGGGGAGGAGAGGTGGCAGGTTGTGGTGCCAAGGTCGCTGAGGTCAGCTGTGCTGGGAGCCTGCCATGGGAGCACTGGCTCTGGCCACTTTGGGGTCTCCAAGACTCTTCGCCGCCTCCGCCAGGGCTATTACTGGGGTCAACAGCGGAGGGATGTGGAGGACTTTTGCCGCAGCTGTGATGCATGTTCCTCACACAAAGGGCCACAAGACCAGTCCCGGGCTCAGCTTCAGCAGCAACCAGCAGGAGCCCCAATGGAGCGAGTAGCTGTGGACGTCATGGGCCCATTTCCTCGCACAGACAGAGGAAACCGCTATGTTCTTGTGGCCATGGACTATTTTACCAAGTGGCCGGAAGCATACGCCATCCCAGATCAGGAGGCTGAGACGGTCGCTGATGTATTAGTGGAGGGGATGTTCAGCCGCTTTGGAACAGCAGAGACCCTCCACAGTGACCAGGGGCGTAACTTTGAGTCCAAGGTATTTGCTGCCATGTGTGAACGCCTTGGGACTAAGAAAACCCGCACCACCCCACTTCACCCCCAAAGCGATGGGCTGGTGGAAAGGTTTAACAGGACGCTGGCCCAGCAGCTAGCCATCCTTACCTCAGAACACCAACGGGACTGGGATTACCATCTTCCCCTTACCCTCATGGCCTACAGGTCGGCAGTGCAGGACTCCACCCAATGTACGCCTGCCCTGCTCATGTTAGGGAGAGAGCTGAGAACTCCTGCAGAGTTGGCTTTTGGGAAACCCCCGGACGCGCCAGAGGCACCACCGGGCCGGGACTACGCAAGGAAGCTGCAGGACCGGCTGGATTCTGCACATTCCTACGCCCGAGAGCAGCTGGCGAAGGCAGGCCTGCGCCAAAAGAGGAATTACGACATCACCACTAAAGGGAGGCACTTCCGTGCTGGGGAGCTGGTGTGGGTCTACAGCCCAAAGAGGAAGAAGGGACGGTGTCCTAAACTGGATAGCAGCTGGGTGGGGCCTTGCAGCGTCCTAGAGCGAGTGGGGGAGGTTGTTTACAGGGTGCAGTTGCCTCCTAGGGGAGGATAGTAGCGCTGCACAGAGACCGGATGGCCCCCTACAGAGGACAGTCCCTCCCCTCCTTTCCAGAGGGACGTGTACAGAGCGTCCATGACCCTGCTCAGAGGGGCCCCGACCGGGGCTGCGTTCCCCCCCCTCGGACTCTTCACCCCAAAGCCCCGAAGCTCCGCGTCCTCCTCAGGGGCTCAGGAGGTCAAGGAGGGAACGTAGGCTACCGCCCCGCCTCAGAGACTGTGTCGTTCCCTCGGGGATGAGGAACTTATTGCTGGGGGGCAGTGTAACGATGGTTAAGTGTTACTGGACAGTGACATGTTGGTTTTCTCTGCACACTGTTGTTCTTCCTTTAAGATTCATGTTTGGTTGGGCTGCAGGAAGTAGTGAGGGTGGTGTACAGGAAGGGGTGGGGGGACCTGGTTGTTCTGTGTGGGTGCCAGGCTGAAGAGAGGTGTAGTTCGAGAGCGCTTCCCCCTGAGTTAACAACCCGCTGGCTTATGTGCCGAATAAACGGACAAACTGAGACCCCAACCGTCTGGTTCTTGTGAACGTTACAATATATAAGGTCAAGTAAGTGTGTTTGTATGTATTTGTGTTAACATCATTGGTTTTCTAATGTGGCTGCAATCCAGTCTCCATTTTCATTCTCCTTTACCACGTTTAAACTGAAAGGTAAAGAAGAAAATATTAAATGGGATTATTTTGCCTTGTCTATCAACTGATTTGAGGTTATATGTTGAAAAGCCACAATAAATACAACATGGTCAATTCCCCTTTAGTATATAGAGCATATAATACCAAACCAAACCCACATAAGGAACCTTTCACACTGAAGACAAAGCTTCACCTTTACATACAGTGTAGCACACCTAACAACACCCTTTAGAGTTGCCACTGTCTTCCTGAGGGACTCAAGAGTGGTAATTGCTATCCTCTTCCCAGCTCACTAATGAGAGAAAAGCCATTCCTTATACCCAGGCTACCACCAGCACCAGCATGTCTCATGTTGTATGTCCAATAACCCCACTGTCTAGGAAAATGAGGAAAGCTTATAGCTTAAAACCTGACAGCTCTCTTGTGAATGTGCTCTCAACTCAGAGCGAAGTAAAAGTTTTAAAAACTTATTATGTACCTTAGTGTACAAAAACACACTTTTTTATTTGCGGCCAATATACAGGATTTTGCATTTAGACTTTATAAAATACATAATTTTATACTGTCAATGATCCCATCTGTTCAGGAACTGAAAGAAATATTTCCATCTCCCCTAAAAATAAGTGGCTCCACAATTTATTTAATAAGTATTTTGGTTTTTGAAGTGCTGTAAAACAGAACTCTTTTTCTTTAGCGGCTGTTTGGTGTGCTGCTCTGCTCCTTTCATGGGAGCCTGTCACCGTGGAGATGTGGAGGTGCTCCCACCCTGCCAGATCCAGGAGAAACTGCAGCACATCCCACTGGACCAAATCCATCCTGAGAATTACACCAGTTCATCTTCATGATGAGTTAATCAAAGGTGTAGAGCTTAATGTGACACATGGTAGTTATGCTTCTCCTGATGCAAATTTCAGAAAGTCACAAAAACACCACAATAAAAGCATTGAAACAAACAGCTGGGGATAGTTTATGAGTAAACTAACTTACCATCAACAAATCCTGTACATTTTTTGTTATTCATGACATCAAGCAAATAGAGGCAGAATCTAAATTTGAATTTCTAAGAAATTTGTACCAAAACCTGGACTCAAATAATCGTTAAAAATAACAATGAATGTTTACATAAATAATTTACAGATGTCCAACATTCATTATCAAAAAGAACATGCTAAACCCCCATGAATGGATCCATAAATGCTCGCTTTAGGTTTTGTGTTTATTCTGAAAGCTTTTATTAGATATGTTGGTTTGCAGAAAGAAGAAACGTACAAAACTCTAAATCAGCCTCTTGATAAAGCTGTTTCCAATTTCAGTAGTGAAACATGAGTTAGGTTATCACTTTGAAGAAGCTATAAACATAAAAACAATGTGGAGACAAAATGGCAAACTCAAACTTGACCTTCATATTTATAAATGTACACAAAGTAATTGTGCAATCTACAGATACTCTCAGCTGTACCAAACTCTACACTTGTTTTAAACTATGTGGTCTGCTGCATAGCTCTTATTTTTATTGTTTCACACACACTGCTCTTAGTGTCATTTTTGGCAGTGATTTTCAGATAAATAGCACTGCAATATTTCATAGTGAATAAAGTTTTAATTCAAACAATTGAATCAAAATTTGCTTAACATGAATTTTGGTTGTTTAAAAAACAAAAGACTTTGTTTAATAAGACTGTTAAGAATCCACTTAAATGCTACACCAGCTTTTCATCTGTATATAAATTTACCATTAGAAAGAAGGTGTTATAGTTCACAGAACATGAAATAGCATTAGCTCAGGTTCTTTAATTTCCTTTTAAGGGCTTCTGGTTGTAGATTGACATGGCTCAGCGGCTGGTTCTGGTACTCGGGATGTATTTCGCCCTTGTGTCTTTTAAAACTTTCTGCATCCAATCTGTCCAGCTCCAAAACAGCATAAAGCTACAAATATGTAAGCCAACATTTATGAATTAGCAACAACTGAAAAACAAACCAAATAAATAAATACCTCTCTTTAATACTGTATCTATTATTGTGCGATCTGCCTTGAGGCGACTTTTGTTGTGATTTGGCGCTTTATAAATAAAATTGAATTGAATTGGACACAGTAAAAAACAATGATTAATGGAGCTTAAAGTGATATTCAAATTACATTATATTTATCTGTTATTTATAATAATAGCCAATTGCTTCAGGAAAATTGCTACCTGTGTTAAACCGATAATGAGAGTGCTTTATTTGGTTGCTGACAATCAAATAATGAGCTGATGAAACATAAACAAGGGTTTCAAAAGACATATTTGTGGTTAAAACTTTTCGGTGGTATTTTTGTTTTGGTTGGATGTTGCTGTCAGACCATATCATGCCATTATATTAAGAAAGACCATGTCAAGCAATCAATAGCCTTTCCTGGGTCTTGTTTCATTTCCCCATGTTTTTGTGCTCCTCCCCTCTTCTAAGAATACGCTGGCTGGCCTAATCACAGGAACCGACCCAGGCTAGAGGTGCATGCCTTTGCACATGGCAGCACAAATTAAAATGTCTCCTGCCACCCGCCTCTCTAATTCCCTGGCACTATGCCCTGGCCTGTCCCACGAATTACAACCAGACCTCGATATGCTGGAGCCAGCATGGGGCAGGCCTGCTTATTGACATGAGCTCCTCCCTGAACTCTCTAAGTCAATAACTGAGTATCTCAGAACACACAGAACGCCTGCCACAGAGGGCTAACCTTGTAACACTGTTAGAGGCAATAGCAAAAGGACTTGGATAGGAGTTGCTTTTTTTGTCTCTTATTTACATGAAACTACAAGTTAATACCACAACATGTGTTACAATGAGCAAGAATGAGACCTTATGAGGTATACTGTGTGGTTGTTCACAGTTCTAAAGAGTGACTCTTGGTCAGATTAATTATTTTTTCTTCTCCCCTGTGTAATAACCAGATAAGTATAAAGATCGCTCAGTTAATGAAATGTGTCTCTAATGCTCAAAGAAATGCTTCAAATGATCTGACTCAGTCATAGATGTTGCTATATTTGGTCAAACCAAAAACCAGACTTTGAAAGGAGAATAGGAGAGAACAATGGTGCGCTATAGGTAGCAATACTTGAATCATAATTGTAAAAGGGTCCATTAAAGCATAAGTAAAAGTCTGGAAATCTTATTAGTAATCTCCAAATGATGGCAATAATAGAATAAGAAAATTGGTTGAAGTATAATAACAGGAAGTCAGAGAGCAGCGAGTGAAAAAATTCAATGTAAAAAAACGATACATATATTCCACATATTTAAGACGCAACAGAGCCTTTGAATATTTGGACTTAATTGAAAACATTCTGTTTCCGTGTTTACACAAATGCACTTTTATAGCCTTTTATGCACATAAAGCTTTCAAAAATAAAGATTTGCATTTTACATTTTCAGATGAAAGACGATGGGGAGGTTACAGTCTGAGCCTACATAACTGATAACTTGAAATGTAAATGCAAAAGCGGTTACCACAACAAAGCTGCGGCATGAAAGAAAAATACTTTTGGTTGCTCGAAAGATTTTTAAAAATAGTTTTGGAAAAAAATGCTGTAAATTTGGAAAAAGACGGGTTTGGCTCCCATTTCTTTTGCTTTGATCTCTGCTGCATGTATCACTACTTTTTCTAGCGCTTATTGTTTTTCCATGTGGTTACGTCCTCACCACTAGAAGGATGAAGAAATTAGTCCAAAAAGCAGAAACTCAAAATATGCTCTTTCTGCAAGGCAGTATTGACAATACAGTAATCTAAATTTCTGAAATTTAATGGAAAGGGATTATACAAAATAAATCGATGAAGCCTGTGGACAAAGGGACAGCTCAGAGGCCCAACTGTCATCCTGAAACCCAAAACCTCACTATGATGTTGTTGATCGTATCATCAGAGAGCAATCACAAAACTTGAGTGTAACAAGCATGAGATAAATCCTGTGGTTGGAACACAGAGAAAGACTGCTCCCACCTGCAACTCAGCGCCAGATTTTTCCAAACACACATGCTGCTTTGTTAGGATCAGCAATCGGTGTTTGTCAGCCACGCTGAGTGCTGTTGATGGTGTTGTTTTCAAATGTCCTGCTGATACTAGGTTCTCGCCCACACGTACCCTGGATGCATATTATTAGGTCAGGGCTCAGGTAAACGATATGTTCCTAGATAAAACGTAAACAAGCCTGAAACACTTTATGACACGCACGAGTAAAGGGGACACTGAATCAAATGCGCTAATGAATAACTGCATCGCTAACTGAATGAGAAACTGCAGGTTCAGGATACATTGTCCTATCCCGTGCCATTGAAACTCATGACTTATGGCAAAGTAACACACTTGTTCCTGCGCTCGTACACTG